CTACGAAAGAGGGAGTAAAAAAGGGCACAAAAAGGGAAGAAAAAAGGGAGCGAAAAAGGGAAACAAAAAGGGAACCGTGAACGACCTTATTGTACATTCGTGCTTGTTCGCCACTTTGAGTTGCTCCACATATTTTTAGAACCGGCAGAACATCTTAGAATCATTAGCCGAGCCGCCAAGAACGAGTAAAACCATGGAAATCGTGATTCCAAAAAATGCATATGTTGTCAGAAAACTGAAAAACGGCCGCGAATGGACCGAGAAGCTCATTATACCCCTGTTTTGGGGGCATAAATGTCGTCAGGGAGTCGAACCCTATGTGAAAAAAGGGTGGTTCATGTAATGTGGGTGCCTGGTTAGAAATTTGCACAATTGATACCAGTTTACAAGCGTAAACCTGGGGCAGTATAAACCAGTGTTAAGACTCACCTTCTCATCCAACACTTAATTTTTTTGTTTTGTTTCAGTGACCTAACAACAAGTCAACGAATTTATTGCAATGCATTATCCTGTTCAGGTGTGCTTCGGATGCATCAGACACTCTTTACGGGCAGCATTATGTACAACATCAAAACCCCATCATCCACGATTAGGGGGATTCTGTAGATTCAAATGACACGGGGCTTTCAAATCAGCTACATTGCACTCATTCCTATTTTGCTCTAGAGGAGAAAAATATCCAGCAGTGCTAGAAATCAAATATTCAATGTGGGGGTACATTTTGCGGTCCATAATACAATTGATGATTATCGATCAGGGAGTGCGCGAGGGAAGCGGTGCGGACTGTGCGTGGACAGTACGGACAGCGAATAGGCTGGGAAAGAAGTAGGGGGCCGCGGCGGGGGTGTGGTAAGTGCAGCGCGCGGAGCGGTACAGGCAGCACGCAGGCGCTACAGTCGGCGTGGTCAGCCCGTATGCGGGGAACGCGCAGTATAGTATGGCGGTTGGGGGGTGCAGCATCATGCGGAGCAGGATGGCCGGCACAGTCCGAGAAGCACGCGGACAGATACGGGCAGCGTGCAGATGGTACGGCATGCGGGTACGGGGGGGCGCAATATCAGCGACAGACACGGGGACGGCGTGCTAGCGTGCATGTGGTACGGGGGTAGCAGGACGCAGTGCCGCCGCACGGTACGGGGGCCGGGGAAGCAAAAAAAAGTGCCGCACAGTCGCGCACGCTAAATTGGGTGTACACTGCTTCCTAGGGCTCGAACGGTGCGGTTCAGAAAATAAGTGGGGTTGTATAGTATTCGCCTTGCATTGGGCGCTGCTAGGAGCAGCCGGAAGCAGGGTGGAAGCCGAGTTAGCTGGCTAACAGGGGAGATTGGAGGGAGTGCAGTGAGGGCTACAGAACGTGGGAAGTCAAACGAAGACCGACAGACAGAGGACGGCACAGGGCGCAAGGAATGTCTGTGTAAGGCACAGGAGGCACGGAACAACGGGCGAGCAGGAGAGCGCGAGGCTAGGCGGCTCTAGGCCCAAATCGTAGGCAAAGGTGCGCCGCAAACCCTTTAACGGCGCACTTACTAATCAAGATGTGAGCTAGGTCTACTCGTTGTTGAAGGCGATGACCATAAGCGCCAGGTGAGTGCATTTGTTTGATACCTACCCACCATCATCGGCCTGACTCAGTGTTGCGCAGCGAAAAATCTTGGCAAGCACATCTCGTTCCTGCACAGATAGATACATTCATTGTCTCTCCGCAAAATCCCGCCTTTGGTGTGCCCCAAATCCGCGGGCTGACGAGCGTATTCGTTGATAAATCGCACCAAGTACTGCTCGTGTTCTATCTGGCCAACAATATGGTCTAACCGCCTACTATAGCTCCGAAACATTTGGGCTGGCGGAATCGCTTCAGCAGCAGGTGAGTGCGCGCGCATCGAGGTCCTCTTCTCGGTGAGCAAGATGACCCTCGATGTTATCGGGCAGGCGGGTGCGCACCATTCTCTTTTGAGACGATGCATTGACAGTGACATGCTGCCAGGATTCAACTACCAATTCAACGCCCTCGATCCCGCGGCAAAGCCTAGCGAGCTCAATAAAGTGTTCAGCCAGATCTTCCACGTTCCTCACTCGCCGCTCCAGAGGGGCCTCCGCCTCGCGCAGGCGATGGTCCCTGTACTACGGGTGTTGGGAAGCAGTCGGATAGCGCGCCTGCACACTGGCCTCATGCACAACTATTCCGCACCAGCCAGTTCCAGGGAACCGCCTATTTGAACAGGCACAGGATGGAATGACGCGCATCGGCTAGGAGCTGCTCGAAGAGACCCGGGCTTCGCTGGAGAGCGGAGCGGACGCGAAGCGCCGGGACCTGCCTTCCCTCCTTCTCAAGGCGAACGCGGGGGAGAAGATACCGCTCAGCGACAAGAGCTCGTCTCGCGTGCGTTGCCTCTGGTTCCGTCTTCCATTAAATCCCCGCTGACACGGACTGCAGAACTCCCAGCGTTTTTCGTCGCAGGGCACGAAACGACAAGGTTCGTGCCATATAATACGGAGCCGACAATCCCCGACGAACCCACAGCACAGCGACTGCGTGGGCGCTCTACGCGCTCGCGCGCAACCGCGGTGCACAGCAGAAGCTGCGCGAGAGCTCCTTGCGATGGATACGGAGGACCCAACGCTGGACGAACTCAACGCGCTCCCGTACGTGGAGAACGTGACATGGGAGACGCTGCCCGCGCACTCGTCCGTCGCGTACACAAGCCGCATGGCGATGGAGGACGACGTCCTCCCGCTGCGCCGCCCATACCTAGATCGCGCCGGCGGGGCGCACGAGAGCCCGCGGTGCGTCGCGTTTCTTGTTTCGAGTGCGCTGTGCATTTAGGACGCCTGCATAGGGTGTCGAAGGGCAGATAATACACACCCCGATATTGGACGTGAAGACGGATACCGGATACCGAGATCTGGGGAGACGACGCGGTAGAGTTCCGGTAAGTGTTTAGCGCGGTGAGAGGTGTGAGTCGGCTGACTGCGGGATGAACAGACCGGAACGGTGGGAGGATATCCCCGATGCGGCGACCGCCGTCCGGGGTGTCTGGGCGCACCTGTTCACTTTCCTCGCGGGCCCGCGCAACTGCGGCATCGGCTTCCGCTTTGCGCTGGCCGAGTGAGTTCTCCGTGCTCTTTGGATATATGCACATTGGCTGGTCGTGCGGCCACAGGTTGAAAGCGCTGCTCTTCGTGCTGATCCGCGCGTTTGAGTTCGAGATGGCTGTGCCCGAAGGCGATGTTGGGAGGACGAGCTCGCCGGTGCAGCGGCCCGCGGTGTTGAGCGAGAAGATAAAGGGGCGCAGATGCCGCAGATCATGAAGTCGTATCGGGAGGAGGCGTAGATACATCGTAGATATTAATTCAAAATCATTGCGGGCGCGGAACCTCTGCGCCATCGAGCTCGATGCGCTTGAATGAGGGCTACACTGCCGGGTCTGCGAGGCGCGTGAGGATCGGCGTCGCGTCGAGGCGCGCGAGGGTGAGTTACGCGACTCCATCCGCGAACGGGTCTGCGGGTGCGGCTGGTGTGGCTGGTGTGGCTGGAGCGGTTGGAGGGGGGGCACGGCGTAGTATCCGGGGGCGGGGCGGTAGTATGGCTGCACGGGACGGGGTACACGTTGCCGAAGCCCGGGTGCGGGCGCTGCGTCTGCATCTGCATCTGTTGGGTAGCTCGTGTGTGCTCTGCGTCCAGCGCGCGATGCACGCCCGCGTCTCGAAGTGCCGCTTGTAGGCGGCCGGGGAGAGGTCGTATTCCGTCATGAATATTATGGTAGTAGACAGAATGAAGACGAAGGAAGATAGGATAGAGTGGCGAGAAATACGCGCGGAGAAGACTACATGCGGCCTCGGTGTAACAGTACACGCCAAAATTTTTACTCATGGCGCCACGTGCCGATCGGACCGTACGAAATGATCCCCGCGGCCCGCGGGAGCTGTTCCCAATTTGGATTTCCGCCTCTCTCTTCGACGCGCGTTTGGCCGTTTTGGGTCTGTGGGCGCAGCGACGCGACGCGCTGCACTAGGCTCGATGCGTGCGTAGTTAGCCCTGTGCGGCCGCCGCTGGTTCGCTGGGCTATCTCCGTTATCCCCGCTCATATGGTCCAGGGTCCTTGATATGGACAACCAGAGTCGCCGACACTGGCAGAAGCGCGGTGGCCGTGCGATCTGCCCCTCTGGCGTCTTTCCTTCGTTGGCGTGATCCCCGCAGCTGCGGGATGACTGGGACTCCAACCCCTGGATGATTATTCTCACTCACCGGACTCGCATCGCGCCCACCACGCCCCTCTAAATCTGATCCATATCGGACCTGTGATGCCTGTCCCTGATCCTCCGGGAGGGCGGATGACTCGTCCTCAATAACTCTAGCCCCTGAAAGATGTCTGTCTCGACGAGGATGACTTGTCCACGCCTCGCGCACGCCACGCCCCCTAGGCCTCTAAATCTGGTCCATATATTCATATCGGATCCTACTAGCCCGATTACAACACTTGCCACTTGGACGCAACGCTGACTGCGGACTATCCCCGCACCACGTTTCCCCTGCACAGTGACAAATCTCCCCACACCACGTTTATGTCGTCTGCTCCATTCCAATCCATCTACCGTCTCACGGTGATCGACAGATGGGAATGCAGCCTTATGGCCCCATCTCGTGTCGCGTGCGCGTACCTCGCCGTAAGTACTTATAACTGCCCCTCGCTTCGTCGCTCCGAGTCATTCCGGTGTGTCCAGATCCACTTAAGCTGTAAGCAGTACTAGTAGGTGCACGTCGATATTTACTAACATACTTCGTCGTTGTCCCTGCTTCTCGGCCTCCGCTACTCCCGCTGGTCCGAAGATCGTTGTCCGCGGATCGCTATCATATCATATCACCAGACGAGTACCTTCTTGGAAACACGCATACCCTCATCCCCTGGTTATTCTTATTTCCTGCAGAGACACTGAAGCGCCCGCCGCCTCGATCGTCGTTCAATACTCCTACTTCCCCGCTGCAAAGCAGGGATGGGAGCTCGGACGTGGTGCACGGCGCACACCCGCTTTCCGTAAATATCTGGTAAAACTGCGGCGGGAAGCCTGGGTTCGACTCCCAGCGTCCGAATATACGTATTATTTATTATTTTCCGTAGGTGTCCTTTTTACTTTAGGCGAATGGAGACTCCGTCGCTTCCCCCGCTGCAGATTAGGGATAGGAGCTCGGACGTGGTGCACGGCGCCCGCCTGCTCTTAATGCTTGTGTTTCTCTGGGTTGTTGCAGGAAGCCTGGGTTCGACTCCCAGCGTCCGAATTCACCAATCGCATGAAGTTTTTCACTCGGTGGGTGCTGGAAACTCACTTATCTATCCAGTTGCGAAGTTGGGATAGGAACTCGGACGTGGTGCACGGTGCACGCCTGCTCTTAATGTTGTGTTTCGCGCGATTGATGCAGGAAGTCTGGGTTCGACTCCCAGCGTCCGAATTCGGCATCCCCATACAGTTTTTTTTCTAGACGAGGTGAGCTTTGAAAATCCCTCCCATATCGTAGCAAGGAACAGGCATAGGAACTTGGACGTGGTGCACGGTGCACACCTGCTCTTAATTACTCATTCTTCTCTGGTTGATGCAGGAAGCCTGGGTTCGACTCCCAGCGTCCGAATTCACTAGCCGCTATCGTGTTTTTTACTCAAGGTGGGCTTGAGAATCTCCCGCACTTATCGCAGCACGGAACACGGATAGGAGCTCGGATGTGGTGCACGGCGCACACCTACTCTCCTTTATCGACTTGTGGCCAGAGTAGAGGCGGGAAGCCTGGGTTCGACTCCCAGCGTCCGAATTCATTTCCTGCTCTCGTGCTTTTTACTCGAGGTGAGCTCGAAAAACTCCTACCCATCCTGGAGCGAAACAAGGATAGGAACTCGGACGTGGTGCGCGGTGTACGCCTGCTCTTAATGTGATGCTTCTTGCGGTTGATGCAGGAAGTCTGGGTTCGACTCCCAGCGTCCGAATTCACTGGCCGCTATCGTGCTTTTTACTCAAGGTGAGCTTAAACACTCCCTCATGTATCGTAGTGTGAACCAGCAATAGAAACTGGAACGTGGTGAGCGGTGCACGCCCGCGCTCCTTCAACCATCATCGAGATCAGGCGGGAGCCCTGGGTTCTATTCCCAGCGTCCGTATTAGGTGTCCCCGTACACTTTTTTTCCTAGGCCAGGTGAGCTTGAAAACTCCCTCACTTGTTGTAGTGCCAAAACAGGGATAGGGGCTCGGACGAGGTGCACGGCGCACACCCGTTTTCCTTGAAAAGGTGATAGAACTGGGGCGGCAATCCTGGGTTCGACTCCCAGCGCCCGAATCGGATTCATACTGATAGTTTTTTGTTGAATGTTCTACGCGAGGTCAGCCGCTAAAGTACTCTGCTACTTCCCCAGCTGCTGAGTAGGCATAGGCACTGCGGCGATCACCGAAATTTAGTCAGCAAAAAACCGGCTAGAATCATGTTGTTTGTTTAGTGGGCCCAAGTTTTCGTGGGGAAAAAATTCTACTAAAATATAGGATCTTTGTCTCTTTGTTTCTCCCACAAAAATCCAGAATTTTAGTGGGAGAAAAAGTTGGGGACAAAGGGAAAAGTCACGTGTTCCTGTTTTGTCCGACTAAAATATAGAGTCTTTGTAGGGGAAAGAAAGAAAGAAAGATCCTATCTTTTAGTGTTACGAGTACTTATTAATCGTTTATAATCAATCGACATGAGATTTTTGAGACCTAGGTGAAAGTGTCCCAATCTATTCGTGTAACAATTAGGGCTGCTAATCAAATAGCGGCTTGCTGAAGCCCATTTAGTGGCTGTCCTTTAATCATTTCATTCCCTGTGCCTTAATAGTGGCTGTCTTGATGCATAATCACCGTCTTCTGTAGGATGGTCGAACTTTCAGACGTGGTGTACGGTGCACACCCGGTCTCCTTATATATATAAAGAACGAGTCTATCTGAGTAGAGGCGGGAGCCTGGGTTCGACTCCCAGCGTCCGAGTCGCCCGCAGGAAATTATTTTACTCGAGGTGAGTGCGGAAACTCCTTCACTTCCCCCGCTGCAGATTAAGGACGTGGTGCACGGCGAACACCTGCTCTTAATTGGGCGGATTCCGCTCGGTTGATACAGGAAGCCTGCAGCGTCCGAATTCTCGACCCATTATTATGGTCGAGGTGAGCTTGAAACTCTGACTTATCTCGGTTACAAGGGAGTATGGGAGCTCGGACGTGGTGCATGGTGCACACCCGTTGTCCTTGAACATAAAGAAGATATAATTGGGGCGGGAAGTCTGGGTTCGCCTCCCAGCGTCCCAATTACCCATCCGGTGATCCTTTTTTTCTACTCGGAGGTTGAAAGCGCCCTCAATTATCGCAGTACGAAACAGGGACAGAGATTCGGACGTGGTGCACGGTGCACACCCGCTGTCCTTCAACAAAAATATGCTCATTACAAGCGGGAAGCCTGGGTTCGACTCCCAGCGCCCGAATTCGCCATGCGCAATCACTCATTCTTTTGCCACAAGGTGAGCTTGCAGACTCCTGCACTTCCCCCGCTGCAAATGAGGGATAGGAACTCGGACGGAGTGTACGATGCACGCCTGCTCTCACTAGGTCGTCTCTCGGTTGATGCAGGAATCCTGGGTTCGACTCCCAGAGTCCGAATCGTCTATAGTTGTCGTTCTTTTTCCTCGAGCGAGCACGCAAAACACTCCCACTTATTTCGGTGCAAAATAGGGATAGGAACTCGGACGTGGTGCACGATGTACGCCTGCTTTTAATGTTGTGTCTCGCGCGGTTGATGCAGGAAGTCTGGGTTTGACTCCCAGCGTCCGAATTTTATCTTCCAGGATTACACTTTTAATTCGAGGTGAGCTTAAAGCCCCCTGGCTTATCTTAGTACCGACCACGGATAGGACCTCGGACGTGGTGCACGGTGCACGTCTGCTGCTCTTAATCGGGCGAATTCTATTGGTTGATGCAGGGCTTAAATAACTGAGCCCAGCCCCAGGTTCGTTATATCCGTGGGTCGTACGATATCGAGGTGGCCGGATAGTGCTACTTGAAAGTTGATATCCGCTCGAAGTCTCGTCGAAAAGTGTAGGGAATGGTTGGGAATTGCTACAGGGTGAATGGCATATTGACTTAATGCCCCGATCTAGGGGATAAGAACAAGCCCCAAAGCTTTGCAAATCGGCCAAGAATTGGTGGAGAAATGGCCGTGCGCACCGCTCGGGGTTAAGAAAAGGCTATTCCCACCCTTCGGCAGCGGATCAAACTCCCCGCAGTTTTTGATCACCGCATCAGGTTGTGTTGATACAAATACAAGATATGCCTTCGCTTCGCTCCGGCGGCGAAATAATGCAGCAGAACAATCATGTTGGAGCAATTTTTGTGCATAGTAATACATGTAATGATATAGACTGTTGCTTTTAGACCTACATTTACTTTGAGGGCGTCAAAAAAAGAGTGCACAAAGGAATTCAATTCCTTAATTGGACGCAAGCTTGAGGCAGCGTTAATCGTTGAACGATGGAGTAAAGAGAGGAAACAAGAAAGTGCCACACACAGTGAGCTGCCGCAAGTGCAGCATTTCCCTGGCTCAGCACTAGTGCCGCACGCGAGAAGCGGCATCGTTGGTGTGGCTACTAAAAGGATATTGAGACTAGGAAGAGTGCGGGTGTCAGCACAGCAGCTCGTCGGGTTCTCGAAATGCGACTGAGGCAACTGGACGAGGGAAAAGCAGAGTTGAAAGGGACAAGCAAACAAGCAGCTGGAGTATAGACCAGAATAGTATAGAGAATAGTAGAATAGTACAGGGTTTATATACAAGTGCCAAGGGATTTATAGGGGATTAGGGGGTTTGGTGTCTGTGGTAACAGGACACATAGGGCTGTTCCTACGATCGGGATGTGGAGGGGTTGAGTCCGGAATAATGGAGTTGAACCCCGGGATATCGGAAAAGAATTCCGGATCATGACAGCGGGAGAAGAGAGGATCAGAGGGGAAAGACATGTCTACGCTCTGTTTCGGCACCAAGATTCTCAATAGATGCTTGATAGGGTTCTGGGAGAACAGAGCCAGAGCAGAACAGTCCTAAATCATCCACCAGAATAGAACTATAATAGGAAAAGACGGAGGTGAACCCAGTAATGCAGCAGATGCTTGAGAATTGAGGTGGATAACCCTGTGTAGGGAACGAAGCAAGAGAGCGGACGGACGAAACTTGGGGAAGAAAGCCTATGAATTCTGGTCCTTTGTACTGTCCAAATGACATACGTGACCGCATTGCCAGAAATGTACGATTCCGCGCCGCAGTGAGAGCTCTATATCTGTAAGGAGTTTTTTGAACACCATACCACAGCAATGGGCCAGATGACGCGGTGGCTCGCTTAAAGATGCTAAAATGGGATTAGATTTCACAGGTCGCAGGTCCGAATTCCAATGCGCATCCGGCAAAAATTGCGGGCGCAGTGTGAATGTTGGACCTGCTTGGGGTTAAGCAGGCTGTGGTTGAAGCGTGGTATTTCCTGTGCGAGAATGGACCTGAATGCTAGGTCATCCGTCCACACTGCAGTGGGGAAAAAAAAACATACAGTCATCCCCCGTCCCAATGAGAGGAGAGCCCCTTCCGTCTCCCTAAGGTCTAGCGGGGAGATTTTAAGGATCGTGAGACGTTAGGATTCTAATGGAGATGAGTTAAAAAGACATACAAAGAATCGAGAGACACCTCGTTGAAGAACGGTTAATAACTGGATTGGCCACTGCAGATGGGGAAAATCCGAAAATATTCAATGAACCTGCCGACTTCACCAGGATGATAAGACCTGATGTCGCGCCGCGGTAAATCATTGCATCCTTGGCGATTGCTTTCTGGCATATACACCATCTTCGGCTCATTACCACACAGACTGTCCGAGCAGATGGGTGACCACCGAACACAACTTCTTTAAGCTCAAGTAAATGAAAATGACTTTGCCTTCGTTATATATCCCTCTAGCTAATTTCGATATTCGGGTATGATGTTTTGGGTTTGAAAGAGTTGAACACGATCCCGCCGGCCGGTCCTTCGGACGGCGCCAGCGAGGTAGCATCTTCAATGCACGGCCAGCGTCCTCGGCCGGCGCGTACGAGTATCATCGCTGGCGCTATGTTCTGCAAAATGTGAGTCAAAAGGTCATATATACCGAGTGTTCGTGGACGCGACTGACCATAGTTTGTCCGACCAAAGCAGCAGTGACCCCAGAGAATATGCACTCCTTGTTTTTCTGTGTGGGAATCTGGCCCATACATATATATTACAATCACTCACGAAGTCGTTGATACTATTCCTGTTGGTAAGTGAGACGACCCATAACATCAGGCAGAGGCAATAAAATGCGCCTGACTCGAGTCTACCGGTGCTTGGGGTGAGAATTAGCCGAGTCTGTAATTGGCCACACGCACAACAACGCAATGGCGGTATTATACTGCTTTCCCAAATTTCCCTCATGTACAATCCGCACTTGCCGTCCGATATACCATATTCGACCAGCTGGATGGATTAGCCGGCGCACATCTCGTGATGGACCAGCACACCTGTGAGACACATAAGAAGCAGGTTTGTTGCCAGGTTCATGATGTAAGGTGCCCGATAGTCAACGAGGGTCGCTGTTGAACGTGGATGGGAAAACCCAAAATATCGCTCCGGTCCTTTGTTACCCAGCCGAGCGGCGTAAAAACTGGGGACCATTGAATCGGTGATGAGACGGCCAGGGACACGGATTCGACTGACCGACCGTCAACAGAATGCATACTGCAGGCACTATGATAACCTTCTTGTTGGAGTCCCAGATGATATAACAGCGATACAGCTAGGAAATTGATCAGTTGCTGATGACAGTATATACGAGCGGGAGAATTAGATCACAAGGAGTAAATCCGTCAATAAACTGGGATTTCCGTCAGCGGTAGTCGCGAGACAATGTTGAGACAATGAGTGGTATTTCACATACTTGTTCAGTGCGAATCGTACCACTTCTGCCAGTTCCACCCCACGGAACACCCCAAGTAGGCGAGAGAGATCAGGGGAACCTTGAAACGCCGTTTTGGTGAACCGAGTGACTAGTCCGACCTCTGTGACAATCAGGAGAGTGCCACCTGTCCCGAGAATGAACATCAGTGACGTTGTCGCAAGGATAGGCCGCCGCCCCGGCGCGTTGTGGTGATTCACGGTCTGAATTGACAATATGAAGATTGGAACGTATAAACCTGTCGTCCATGAGATCGATACTGCAGGGCGCGATGGGATATATGCATTTACCATATAGCACGAGTGTTGTCTGTGAGAAGCGTCAGCGCTTCAAATATCCAGTGACGGGAGGCGGGGTGGCTTACGGAACCTAGGCATAAAGCTTCCAGCACAAGAGGCCAGGCGTCTGCGGAATTGACGACATCGCTCATGGCGGTGAGAAGTTGTTTGACACGGGGAAGGGAACATCTGAGTCGAGGTACCGGATACTTATATCATATGATGCTATGACGGCAGCGCGATTCCACGTCAAACACACCGGGAATAAGGAAGTTTTAGGAGCCAGTTTTTTGTCCCCGAAAGTGTCAGTTTCGGACTAGAAAGACAGGCAGCCGAAACGGCGCCCGATATTTCTCATATGAGCTCACCGAAATGCGCTGATTTGCCCGATCGATGGGATTCCGGGAGAGCTGGGATGAGAGGTATTAGGTTCAATTTTAGGCTGGAGCCGAAACGGGGTGTTTCGAAGACAAAAAGCAGTGTCACGTGCTCCCGAAACTTCCTTATTAATATTCTTGGTGTGAAGGGAGCGGCGTCGCCAAGGGGGCGATGCATTGACAAGGACGGGCGACGTACGTGGGTAGGTAGCTATGGCAGTCCCGTTGTACATTTAATTCTGCCCCATATGAATTTACCTCCGCCCCTTAAATAGGGGTGTTTCGATGGTTTCCGCCTCATATATATAGTATACCCCATGGGGTAGTTTCATTTGGGCGCGAGCGATCCCCGCCTCTTATAAACTCGAGCCCCGCCCCATCAATTCAGACCTCCCTATGAGCTTTTGTCCCGCCCTAAATATATGCATTTCATCAAATAACCGAAACATTATAGTCAGCTCAAAACGAGCTTAGGTCAACCTCAAGGTTCCTGAATTTCAACCTTTCGGCAATTAGTACAAGTTCCCGCCTATTCACCTGTCTAGATTATGTCTTAGATTTCCATCTCTCCTGATAGGAATATTCAATGACAAAAAAAAAAACTTGTCAGGTTCTTGGAACACGACTGAGGTGACTGAATGAGGGAAAAGCAAAGCAGAGGGAAGCAAGTACACAAGCAGCTAGAGTATAGACCAGAATAGTATAAGGAACAGTAGAATAATACAGGGTTTATATATGAGTGGCAAGGGATTATAGGGGGTTTGGTAGTAGGACACATAGGGTTAATGCAGGGATAAAGTGAAACGAGGGACTGATCAGAGTTTCAGGGAAATGTCTAGGATAATGGAAAAGAAAGTTGAATAATGACACTCTAAGGCTTCAAGCTCTGAGTGGATAATGGCTGCACACTGCGCTTGACCTGTCTACTAAGAGCCAAAGCCCATTGCAAGTGATCCTCCTTCCACAACTGCCGGAGTCTTTGAGAATCTCCTCTCATGTGCCTGGAATCTATTGATGAAATTGTGCATGCCTTTCGAACGATTGAGTTTCTTGAACTTCAATGCTAGTATGCATATTTATGTGCCGAATTAATGACCTGATACTTGCAAGTCTCAATCTCCTCTACAGACCGGACAATTAGCAGATAAGCTCAACCATCCCATGCCGAAC